ACCCAGAAGTGCCCATCATGACCCCAGCTATCGCTGGCTTACCCGCCTCGAGGAAGGTTTTTCGCCCTTTCTCCCTCTCAATTCCACGCATGCCAACTGACTGGCTTGCAAAGAACTTTTTTTGGCCTTCTAGATAAGGATGATTCTAGACATGGAGCGACTGGTCCTGGTGGGTTTCATTGTGCATGCCCTTGGCTGTGAGATAAGCAATATTCCCCTTTCCTTCCACTCCCTCAAACTGCTCCAGTATTTCCAACAGGCCACAATGGCCAACTCTTTGTCACCTGCTGTGGGTGAAGGGTGGCTGGTCGGGCACCTTTGGCAAACATGTTGTGGGAGGAGAGGTGGGGGCGGTGTGACCGACCTCCTTGTGCTCAGTGTTTTGCAGGATTCCTGCCAAGGGTTCGCACATGTACAAATCTTGATCCCTGTTGGAAGACCAACCTACGCTTGCTTTCCCATTGACTTTCACAAATGCACCCTATCCATCTTGCATCCTACCTTCTCTTTCCCATGTGGAGATTTTAAGACTTGACTACACAGTGCACTGGACTCAGGAGCCCACAATTGGTCCTTGCCTTGTTCATATTGCAAAGTGCCTGTGTGTGGAGGAACCCATGGATCACAAAGGTGATGGGACCAAATCCTCCTTTGCAATGATTATTTTGTATTGCTCCTTTGTTTTGGCCATTTCCTTGCCCCCTCTAAAACTTTCCATCCTCCCGTAATATCCCAAAAGATATACCACCAAAGCCAGTGCTTGCTCTTCCCTTGTGTGTTTGTGCCTGCATGGTATGTGGAGGAATAGGAAATGAAGATGTTATGGCACCCATTATTGTCAGCTGGAATCTTATTTGGCTAAACAAAGAGTTGGATAAAACAATCACCTTTAGCCCTGCTCCCCCTACCCTCCCCTCAGAAGAAAAAACAGAAAAACAAGCTGAATTGCACCCACACCCTTGTGTGTCTTCACTGCCTGTCCCAGTTGACCAGCACCTCTGTTCTACCCTCACTTGGCCTGGGAAGATAGTCTTGCAGTACTTCATGGGGGAAAACACATAATGTTGGCTGAGTATGAAGAAAAATGAGTGAAATGAAAATGGACACCGCCTCCTTTTTTTTTTGCTTTCCAATTGGAAGCAACCATTGGCAACAGTCAGACAGTTCCCCTTCTCCTTGTCTCCATCTTCGCTCCCCTGCTGAAGACAACCTGTTGGCTCATTCCCAATCATCATCAGGACCAGCATGGCTTCACAGTGCCAGGTAGCATGACGACTGCTCTAACCTGGGGAAGCAGGGGGCAGGGAGAGAGAAGATGATGCCCCACAACTGGCTGCCAAAATATATCATGGGAGCCCTAGCCAAGAAGTAGATTTGGGAAAATGGTAAAGACTGACAAAGCATAGGCCTGCAATCCATGCAAGCATTTTCCTCCTCTGACTGAGACTGCTGAGATGACCTTTATGCACCCTTACCTTTGCCTTTAGCTATGGACAACTTGTCCTATGTGATGTTTGAAAAGATCATGTAGTATGTTTGCTCCCTGTGCGCATGTAACCTATTACTGCCTCTTTCTCTTATTTATGCAAGTAGCACCTTCTCCTCCCACCCACCCACCCTATCTCCCTGTCCTCAGAATCCGCGCTGTCCTAGCACCATTAACTCTGCATTCAATGTATGGAATAATAAACTTAAAGGTTTCATTTACATGCATCAATATTTTTCTGCCTTTTTCATGTATGTCTTGCCCTTCCACACAAAAAGAGGAAGGTGTGTCTAGGTCACGCAGACCCTGCGTGCACACATTTCTTTTATGCCCATTGCTGAAAGGACCATAACAGAATTCATTCAGAGTGACTTATAGCACTGCTCAAGATGTCTGTCTCTCCAGCCTGTATTTATTTCTTTAGTAAGTAGTCCTTCCCTTCTAATCACATTCCCCAAGTAGGATTCAGTCAGAGGCGGTTAACTATAGCCTTGTTACCCCTCCCCTCCCCTCCCCACACCTACCCACTGTAGTGAGTTTCTGGGACTTCAGTCCTCTTGATTCCTTCTCATCTTTGTGTCCTCAGCTCCAGGCATTAGATCATGTCACCTCCTTATAAGAAGGCCTCCCTGAGCACATATATTTTCCAGAATACTATCAATACCATCTAACCTCTTAGTTGGCACAAATGACCACATGCATGGATCCTGACTGCATGAACTCGGGAACTCCAGCTTCCTTTCTTCTGTGAGCCACCTACACATAGACACAGGTGCTTGAAAAACAATTTGAGGATGGCAGAAAGGATAACATATGACACTGCTCAACTTAAGAACAAAATCTCCCAAGGCCATTCATAGCAAGGTAGGACCAGAGCATGCACAGGTAGGAAACAACCTCCCCAAAGTTTGGGAATTGGACTTCTGGAGCCCCTAATTTTCTACGATTCTAAAAGAGAGAGTCAAGGTTTTCTTAGTCAGTGGGTTTGTGGAAACCAGGAGCTTAATGGGTGCGGGTGAGCATGTGCTCTGGAGACTATGGATCAGATCCAAAGTCTGTTGAAGTCACTGGCAGCTTTTGGATTAGGGCCCCATCAGTTCAGAAGCTTCAGGCAAGTACAGCCCTTATTGAAATGACTCGGACAGACAGAGCTGTGGAACTGGATAGTTAAGTGCATGAAAATGAAAGGAAACTAGGGCAACAGGTGAAGCCATTGAGAGAAGAAGAGCGGAAAATAATCTCCTCACAAAACACTGACCAGGGAAAGATCTGGAGCAGGACTGTGACAATGCTAGGCATGGGCAATCAGAAGGTACCTTCTGGTAGTGTTGGGAGGAAAACAGAGGTAAGGGGAAAGGCTGTGCAGTTGAGCAGAGAGAGCTAGCGAGGGCAAAGAAAACTAAACACAAATGTCCTCCAGTAGCTCTACAAGGAGCATAAAGAGTTTCAGCGTATGAGCTTCCCACACAGTTAATGGCTCCTAAAATGGGAGGCCTAGTTTCACCCAACCCCGGGTGAAGCAGGCTTGAGAACACCCCCCACCCTTTGCTTGTGCACTGGTAACAAAGGGGTTAAGTCCCCCCCTGCAGCCGGGCAGGAGTTGGCCCAGAGTCCTTCCCTATCCCTTTAATCGTATCTGATACAGATGCAAGGCTTGCTGGGGGGGTCGGGGGGTGGAAGCAGGCGTGGAACAAAGAGGCTATTTAAAAAAAAGGGACGAGAAAACGACCCCCGCGCTCCATCGCGGACGCCAAAAGGATCACACAAAGGCACCATTTCAGGACTGAAATTTCACCGCGCCAACGTGATTAAAGGATTCCACGGGGGGTGGGGGAAGAGGGCCGAAGGCCATCACTCTGCGGATTAACCTTTTCTTGGCAAGGGTGGCACGGACAGAAAAGGCTTGCACACCTTGGAGCCCACACCCTTCCCATGCCTGCTAGCAGCTGTGTCCCTCTTCAGCTATCAGATGGCCAAGAGAGATTTTGCTGTTTATAACTGGTCTCAGAATCCATCCCCATCTCTCTGTTTCATACCCCTACACAAAGAGGAGGAGGTAGACTGGTGCCTGTATTGAGTCTAAGTGCATATAGAAGTAATATGGGCAATATGCACTGTAGGGATGCATGATGATTTTACAGGCAGGTAGATATTAACCCACTATGGAAGATGGGCGCATTAGACTGCGTACACAGACAGAATGAAGGGGACGCACGTGCGCGTGCACACACACACAGAATGAAGGTGGATGTTTATCTGGCTCTAAAAATCACAGGGTCTGCAATACTAGCCCAGAGGAAAAACTGTCCCTCATTTGAAGGACAAGAAGACAGTAGCCAAGGGCAGCCTGTGTAACCTCATAACCTCAAAGGTCCTCCTTTAATAATGCAATTGCTGCTGGAATCAGGGCCTAGCCACTTTACCACTATGGAATTTTCTACCCCCAGAGCAAGGGCTCTTGAATGTATAAAGGTTGGGGAGAGGGAGGGGGGCAATCTACAGGCAGCAGCAGTCCTGGCCTACAGGGAGGCTGGCACATACATACAGCTTCCCTTGGAGTGGCAGTGCAGGCCACCACTGCATCCCCCCGCTCCAAGCATGATGCCACAAGAAGTCAGTAAGTCTCAGCAGCAAGTCACTTAACTCAGTAAGCATCATGACATTGTAAGAAGTCAAGTGTTCAAACCTATTCATTACATTATACACTCCCTTCTTGCTCCTGTAGGGACTCATGGTGATGCTTTAGGCCAGGGCAAGCATAGTAGGGCCATGGCTTTGGCATCAAAAGGACTGCATGGGCAGGGATGGCTGTATACAGTGTAAAAGCACAGAGTGCACCTATAGCTGCAGAGCAGGTTCCCAGTCAGTGAGGACTCAGGCCGGCGACTGCACTTCCTGCTGGGACAGTGCCACTGAAAGGGGATCCCAGTGATTGATAAGAAGTGGGGGGCAGGAACAGGGAAACAATAGTTGATTTGATGAGAGCTGCTCTACGATACTCCTGAGAAGCCCCCAGAGCTAGCCCTGATCAGAGAGGAAATTGGGGGTTTCCACGGCAACCTGCTTCAGGGCACAAAGGCCTGTCTGTCTCCTGGAAGGCAACAGAGGTGTCTCCTCGACTCCAGCCCCTGGCTGCTGTGAAAGGAGGTGTGGGCAGAGAGCTCTTAATTGCTTCAGAGGATTCCTAGAAGCCAAGTGACTGCAGAAGAATTTTTACATGTTTAATATGACCAGCAGCCACTAAGTGGGCAGAAAGAGCGGTCCAGTCCATCTCTGCAGTAGTGTATAGGCAGAGCTTCTCAGAGGAAAGAATGAATAGAACAGCACCTCACCTTGTTCATGGCATCTACCAGCAGGCTAAAACGCAGTACCTCTCAAGAGAAAGGCCAGGGCAGACTGCAGCAGAAGGAAATAAGTTACAGGTCTAACTTGATGGAAAGGGGAAGGATGCAGCTTTCTCCTCCTATCACAGGAAGCTGAGCTACAGGGGAAAAAAACCCATGGTCAGCTTAAACATGGGGTTTTAAGACTTTATTTACACAAGTATAAACAAAAATAAAAACATCTGTAGGAGAAGGAAGAACCAGGAAGCATTGACAGAAGGCAGGTCAGTCTGTGATAATTAGCTCATCCACACCCCAGTCTTCATAGCTTCCATCTGGCAGGTACCTGCGGATGATAATGGGGATCTTCCGAGCTCTGAAGAGAGGATAGAAAGGAAAATAGTAATGCCAGAACCTTGGCTGTATCTCCTCAGCAATCTGTGGGAGTCCAGATGTGCCACACCAGTGACAGCTGACAACTCACCAGTTTAGTTTAACTAGCAGATCTCCGAATTAATAAGGCCCCAGCATCTTAACAGGATAGGCTCACAATCTACAGGGCACTCAACCCTTCCCCAGATATTGCATTCTAGCTGGTAACCCAATTTAGAGGAACACAGGTGTAAGAACACACTCCCTGAATGAACAGAGGCTGTATTCCCTGCTGTAGTCAGACAGCACAACCTGTAGCTTCAAAAGCTAATGGAGATCAACTCCAGCTGCTGGAGTGTGGAAGGAAGAAAGGACTGCTACTCTAAGGTGCTGTCATGTTCACTGCCAAAATCTCCAACACTTACTTGAGTTCTTTCATTGCAATCAGCAAGGGGTCTGTCTCTCCTTCCAGTTCCACCATCACTGGGGCGCACATCCTGAAGAAAAGAAATATGCTTAGTCACAAGGAGGACAAAGGCAAAAACAGAGAGGTGAAGCATGAGGAGGTACTTATTTCATAAACAAGCTTATCACTCAGGGACAATCCAGCAAATTGGGCAAGAAGTAGGATCATAGCAGTTCTCATTTGTGAGGTCTCTGCTGAGGTAGGTGGGAAAGATTAAGGCTCCACAGGGATTTTTTACATCCCCCTATCACAGCCCATCTTCCATGTAGGAGCAAGAGCAATCTGTGTCAGAAGGCCAGTGGTTAAAAGGCAGCTTGGTGTTTAATGTTTCTCTTAGGCCTTCCCATCAGTTTTGTTTACCCTTGCAGGGGTCACTTCCAGGCATAACTTAGTAAGGGAAACAAAGAGTGACTCTAAAATGAATCTTTTACCAGAAATGGGCATCATAGCCACCCCCAAAAAGGATTCTAAGGTCAGCCTATCACCTGCATCCCTACCAAATTGTTTTGCTGGCCTGCTCAATACCCTAACAGACTTTCACTTGGCAGAAGTCAGAGTTAATTCTATTATGAACTAGGGCTATACAGGGCTATAGAGCTATAGAAGACTGGGGTGTGGATGAGCTACTTATCACAGACTGACCTGCCTCCTGTCAATGCTTCCAGGTCTCCAGCACAGATTATCAGTTCCTGAACACTGGGTATGAGCTTGGAAGATCAGTCTTGGTAGCTCTGTGTACTGATCCAGAGAATGCATTTGCTAGCTAAACTTGCTACAATGCTTTACTTAAAGTCATTAGCCTGGGTTAAAACATTCTATGGCAGTGATTCTCAACCAGGGTGCCATGGCACCCTGGGGTGCCTTGAAATCTTTTCAAGGATGCCATGGAGTGCTACACAATGTTAACACCATTAGGTTTGCAAATGTGACTTACAAGATAAACCCAAAGATTTCAAATAGAAATCCACAGTTGTGGTCTTTCTGAGCTCTCTGCAATGGAAAAAACTGTTCTACTATTCTTCTCTACTCAAAAAGAGTGAAAACTAAGAGTTGGCATTTTCCAAAGGCTACCTCGAACCTAAGGAGGTTGTGAGAACCAGTGCTACAGAAGATGTAACTGTTTCTGCCAGGCAGCTGGGAGCAGGTGTCAAAGCTGAGGATTATCAGTTGCATTCCCCTCAAACAAAAAACAGAAGTAGCTCATACTATATGCAGATTTGGCCACTGGGGGCTGCTGTTGGCCTACATTCAGTATCCAAGGCAGAGTATGTAGGTAATGTAACAGCAAACCAGTTTGTTTTGGATCCAGAGCCCTGGAATGGGCTCACTTTAGCACACAGAATTTTTTTGGCCTTCCAGTCTGTTAAGTTAAAAGAACATGCATGGAACAATTCTGCAAGGCAATGACTCTGTGAAGAATGGCTTTGCAAAGTGAAGGAAAGATGTGATTGCCACCTACAATTACCTGGGACAATTCTCAATCGGTGGCCTGTGGATGCTCTGTGGGTGTGGCTGCAAGGGTAAAGGCCGACATGCATGAACATTTCTGCAGCACTAGGAAAGCACTGTGTGCTTGCCACCACACTGCTCTGTCCACACTGCCTTCCAAGCAGAAAGCAGTACAGCTGCTTTTTTTTGGCGATTTGGGTGGGAGCACAGAGGTAGGGCTAACTACTCCGGGCACAAGCCCTTGCTAGCATGGCCATCCCATTTCTGGTTCAGGAGGTGGTAGCTTGAGCAACTCTGCATGGCACTGCCTTGTGGCTATTTAGTACCATACTACGACATCAAAATTACTCCATTTCTGCTTCCAGCAACTGCTGCTTCTGGAAGTTGTACAGACCCCTTTGCGGTTGCTGAGGTGGTCTGTCAGATGAAAAAACTTGGGAACCTCTCAGAGGGGAGATGAAATACTGCAAGAGACTGGGGGGCAGGGCTAGATACAACCAGGATAAAACTAAGATGAGAGATGATTACACTAAGAGATTTTATATATAAACTTTTATCAATTTTACACACACACACGCACAAACTTTTCTGCAGACGAGTCTCCTAAGTAGTGCAAGACGCACTGTGCCAATTAAAACTAATATGAACAAATCCTGGAAAAGACAGAGAATAATCTAGCTCTGGCAGTGATTAGGACACTATACAGGCAACATCTAGACTTTGACAGCCCCTCAAAGTCAACCAAACTGAGCATCTTTGTTATATACACAGTCAATAAAAGTTTCTGACCAACCGAAAATAAACTGCAATCTAGAAGATTCAGTGCTTCTTTCTACAAGTCTGCCAAACCTACTCATGACATTCTGGAATTTTCTGTGAGGCCTTGCCTTTTGTGTACAACTTTGACCCTCTCAGCAAAAAACTAAAGGGCCACCATCAGAACACAATCTCCTACCTACCTGTTTTTAGTGGCAGAAGCTGACAACTGATGAGAAACTTACCACTACAGAAACCAGTTAGCAAAATATAAAGTATAAGGTGGCACAGGGAATGGCAGTCCCTTGGGTACAGTGATCTGGGACAGCTTTGGAGACTTGACAAAGGGCTCAGGCTTTCCACTTGTGAGCCCACATCCTCTACTGGTGGTAAGGGCAAGGAGTTTGGAGCTCTTGAATATCGCGAGTACCAAAACAGAAGCTTAATCAGGGAAGGGCATAGGCGCAAGTACACTTACGCTATCTGAAGAGCACGGGTGCCCAGCACTCTGGCTCGCTCATATTTGGTCATGTAGGGTGTAGTGATCCGCTTTTGATTGGCCTGCTGGCGCTCTCCAGATGGGAGGATTTCTACATTCTCTTGACCCTCCTGAAAAAGAGAATAGCAAAAACTGACTCTAGGCACGTTTAGAGAATCCTGTGCTTTAAGTATGCTGCAGACAGATGTGGAGGCCATGATAAAAGAAAGATTTAAAGCCCATAGAGAAGTGGTTCTCAAACTTTCTAACTCAAGGACTCAGGTACCTCTCAGAAAAGGACAGCTCTTCGTTTTCACTCATTTTCTAACTAGAGAAAAACAAGAGAGCCAGCCTTCTGGTGCAAAAGAACTCAGAAAGCGCACATAAGGGCAGAATGCTTTTAACATTGTGGATTCCTATTGAAAATCTCTGGATTGATCCTGTGGATCATGTTTATACACCTAAGAGCACAAGAATTGCCATTTGCTCGTTCAAACCATAGGTCCACCTTGCCCAGCACCTTGTCACACAGGGCCAGAGAGTAGATGCTGAAAGGGAAAATGAACAAGGTATGACCAGGGTTTTTCCCCCCTATTGTTCCTCTCACACTTGCAGCTTCTAGTATTTAGTATCTAAGAAGTTCTGATTTAGAGTCTGCGTCCCTCCCTCCCATGCTCAATAGCTACTGATGCCCCTTTCCTCCAAGAATGTGTCCAATCCCTTTTTGAATGCAACTAAATTGCTAGCTTCCATAACATCTGGTGGCAAGGAGCTCGACTTCAAGCACTGAGTGAAAAAAAAACCTATTTTGTTTGTCTTAAACTTATTACCTACTAGTTTTGTTTTGTGACACTTAGTTGTGTTGAGAGAGTAGATAGCAAATCCCTCGTTACTTTCTCTTTGCCATGCAGTATTTTGAAAACCCTTCTCGTGTTCCCCTTCAAGCATCTGTCTAAACTGAATAGTTCTAGCCTCTTTAGTCTCTCCTCATATGGAAGCCCCTCCATAGCGCTAATCATCCTTGCTGCCCTTCTCTGGACCTTCTCAATTCCTCTACATCCTTTTTGAGGTGTGGGGACCAGAACTGAGAACATTATTCAAGGCATGGATACACCATGGATTTATAAAGGGGCATGATGATACTTTTTGTTTTGTTTCCTATTCCCCTCTTCATACCCCTAACATTTTGTCTGCTTTGCTGACAGCTACTGAGTACCAAGCCAATGTTGTTAGCAAATTGTCCCCAATGCTTCCCACATCTCTCTCTTGTGTGGTAACAGCTCAGGTAGATTCCCCTTAATTGTGTAGGTCTAGATCGGGTTGCCCAGCTGCAAAAATCCCCTTCCCTCCACTGAAAAGCACCTGCCATTTAGTTGCCCTGTCACCCAATCATGCCAGATCCTTCTGTAGCACCTCACTACCCAACTTGGTCTTTAGTCTCTTGGAAGTTAACCCTGGGTGGCAGGGTGCTAGAAGTCAAACTGAGAAGGGTCATCAAGAATGAAAGTATAAAAGGTAAGTTCAAGTCCAAACAGCCAATTTTCAGGATGGGAAAAAGCAAACAGCGGTGTCCCCCTGGGGTCCACACTGGGACTAGGGCTGTTTTGCCTCTTCCTGAAGGATCCAGACAGGAGGGGGTGGGGTAGTAGTGGGGTGGCCAAATTGGCAGATAACACAGAATTACATAGAGTGATAGAGTTAGATCAGCTATAGTATAAGGGAGTTCAGGCTTAATCACACGTGTGTCTGAATTTTTTTTCCTGCTACTTGTCACCTATTTACCTTAGAAAGACAGAGGGCTATTTTTACCCTCTTTCCATTGATCAGCTTCCCGCTTGCAGCGGTCTTTTGGTTTAGAGTCAGCTTCATTCTTTGCCCCTGTAACCTTGAAGTTGTTTGGATCTTTGTATAGAGTCCATCACCTCAGAGATAAACCACTCATTCTGCCATCAAGGTCCTTCATGCGCCATCTCCTTTCCACCTATAGCTTCCCATTTTCTGCTGGGAGGTTGACTCACCTCTCCCACCAACCTGTGATGCCAGTTGTCCTTTCCCACTTACTTTATTGAAAGGGCTCCTTCATGCTTTCTCTCCTGTTGCCCCCCCTTTTAGGAAGGAACTGTAAATATCTGCAAAGCCATCATCTACATGCTGTCCTCCAAATTCTCTTTCATAGAATCAGAGACAAGCAGGGCAGAAAGGGACCTCTGGAGGTCATCTAGTCCAACTCCCTGCCTGAGACAGCATCATCCCTCTCCAAACCACCCTACTCAATCCATAAGCTAAACTCTACATAAGAATATTGTCAAACCTCGCACAAGACATAACACCATAACCTGCCACAGGCAAAGCAGGGGAACCAGGCAGCCAACCTCCTGCTTCTATAAAATGCTGTTAATATATGCTTGAGAGATCCGAGGCAGAGGCTGCTCCCCCAGCTACAGAGGAAGGCAACCCCCCCCCGAAATCCATCCCAATCTGACCAAGGGATAAAATTCCTTCCTGACCCCTGTAGGCCTGTAAGCCGCCTTGGCAGAACTGATGCCATTTTTTTGAATGGGCACACAAACAATGTAAACAACTACTGTGGGCAAAACAAAATACAGCTAGCTGCGGGAAGGTAGAACAAGACAGAACAGAGAAGCAAAATGAGCCAAAAGATGGTTAAGCAGCTGAGAAGTGAGTTAAAATGAAAAGGACGAGGGTGACAGATTGGTGAGGAAATAACCACTGTCAAAGGTAAGTAGTGAGGATCCAGAGCAGGGGCGGGCAAAATGCAGCCCATGGACGGGCTGTGACCCAACAGGCCATTCTATCTGGCCCGCGGGGCTCCTAAAAATTTAGGAAATGAGTATTTATCTGCCCCTGGGCTGCCTGTCATGTGGCCTTTGATGGCTTGTCAAAACTCAGTAAGCAGCCCTCTGCCCAAAATAATTGCCCGCCCCGATCTAGACCATGGCCATCAGAGGATGTACAGGAAAGAGCTGTAAACGGGTATAAAAGTCTAAGGAAAGAACTGCCACAGAATCACCAGGAAGTGGTGCTGGAAGGGTCCTCTGGAGCTTGGGGAAACCTCGCTGGCCAGAACCGCAGCTCCGGGGCTGTGACGATGCTTGGACAGCTGTCGTGGCGTGCCGCTGGGCAGGCCTGTGTAAGGACACCTGTACGGCCTGTCTGGGGTATGCTCAACTAGCGGCATGGCACATTAGGGTGCGCAACCACCCCTGCATCCAAATGAAGCATGACGACCCCCAACCTGGCCACTGGCCTGAGCCCAGGCAGCGGGGTCGGACCCCCGGGTGGGACAAGGGCACAGCAAGGGCTGCGCGGAGGCAACACGAAGGTTTCAAAGACCCAAGTCAAGGAAGCCAGGGCTAGTCCTGCCCGGCCCTCACCTGCAAGGATCCCACCCCATGACGTCATAACTCCGTCACGAGCCCTTGGTTGGGGGGCCCCGCGTGCGCCATGACACTGCCGGCGCAGGACTCTATGCCGTTACATCACGCCGCCACGCACCTCCTCCGCGTTCTCCAAGTCATCGAGCCCCTCGTCCTCCTCCCCGTCGTCGAAGTCGTCGCCGTCGAAACTGCGGAGACAGGGGCCAGACCGTGAGCAACGCCCAACCTCCGGCTCCCCCGACTCGGCGCCCCCTCGCTCCCGCCCCCCACTCACTTGTCCTCGTTGTCCGACATCCCAGCGGCGCGTGCCGGCGGCTCTCGCGATAGGGGCCCCGGCCTCCGCCG